TGCGTGCGTGCGTGCGTGCGTGCGTGTATACATAATTATATCATTTCAACAATCTTTTTAACACATATTTCTCTGTTATAATTAATTTAGAAATAATTCATTTTCCTTTATACAGGAGCACAAGGACAACAGTTGACACTTATTCCAGCATCTGCATTAGCAAATTTAACTGCGCAGCAAGGTAATATGATGAGAAACGTGAGTAACGGAAGTATAATGCAGATTCAGCCAACTACTGGGATGAACACGGCTAACGGTTTTTTACAATCGATACCTGTGCAAAATATCCCAGGCTTGGGAAATGTACAAGTGATACCTGCTAGCGCATTGCAGCCGGCTACTGTTCAAACATTGCCCGCTACCGCGGCTGCACCTATTGTTGCGACTACGCCAACTGTGCAACTTGACTCGAATGATCCTACCAAATGGCAAATTCTTCAAACTCTTCAGTCACACGGAACTTTGACAACATCAGCTACACCTGTATCTCATCAACATCAAATATCGAATCAAACGATCAATAACGTCTCCAATAATGATACTAATGATTCTAATAAGCAGCATCGTCGAAGAGTCGCGTGTACATGTCCTAATTGCGGCGACGGAGACAGGTAAGTGACAATTCTTCTCATACCAAGCATGAATTATTTGTAACTAATGAAAAATAATTACATATTTCTCTATAGAAATAGAGATATAACTAGAAAACGGCAACACGTATGTCATATCGCTGGATGTAATAAAGTATATGGAAAAACGAGTCATTTACGTGCTCATTTACGCTGGCATACTGGCGAACGACCTTTTGTCTGCACTTGGATATTTTGCGGTAAAAAGTTTACTAGATCTGATGAACTTCAAAGGCATCGTAGAACTCATACTGGTGAAAAGCGTTTCCAATGTCCGGAGTGCACAAAGAAATTTATGCGATCGGATCATCTAACGAAACATATTAAAACACATACGAAGATACGAAGTACGGTAAGTGTTATTAAATCAAAAAGCATCATATACGATGCGACAGTGAATATTGAATTGTAGGAAGCTGCCACCTCAACGCAGGAAGGCTCTTCCGACAGCCAGTCTTCCACCGAGCAAAAAATTATTATTGCTCTGCACAAAGAAACTGACCAATCGGATATTGTTATATCAGAGCAAATTGAAAATCTGAAAACTGAATCAACGAATCACGTAACAAATGAATAAAAGTTTTGAAGTAACATTGGATCGCAATCAGTCAGACAGTATTCTAATAAATTTTATGATAAATTTGTCTCAGAAAATGATTTCTGAAGAGGAAAAAAATCAGTAAATATTAAACACGTTTTAGCATGTAAAAATTAAAATTTTGTATTAATATTGTTATGTGTGTAATATATAAGTGCTGTGTTAATACAAACTACAGACTATTGAAATTAATGCTACATGGTCAAACGCGATTGACCTGTCTGTTCTATATAAGTATGGTGAAGAGTTTTTAGATATAATCACAACTTGTAACATACAATCTATTTTTTTATTGCGGTTACGTATGTATATAATGTAAATCAATGTATACAATTTTGCACAAGAAAGTTTTACACTTGTAAACATCTTTTGATATTATAAGGATTCAGAGAGATATTTAGCTTCCCATTTAATTTATCCAGATATTTTTTAAACCGGACAACCGTTTTTGTAACACATCACATGCGAGTTATAAACATAAGAGTGATAAACATAAGTTTTTATATTAGAGGACTTTTGCTTCAATTTAAATTGGCCTTTGTATATATTGCAAACAATACGAATGTAAGAGCAATCTGGCAACAATTATAATAATGCTGACACAAACGGAATATAAATTTTAAATTTAAATAACATGGAATATATAGCATTCCACGTCGCGTGTATGATGAAACGTACGAAATTTAAGACATATGGAAATACTGCAATTTTTTTGAAACTAAAATTTTATCGTTTCCACCATTATGTCAGACTTCGTACTCTTCACTATTCAAATATTTTATACTTTGTATTATATTTTTTATTGAATTTTTATCGACACAAAAACAAACTTATCAAAGTTTAGAAACGAAAATACATTATATATTTTGACAGACTCGCGTTTGCCATTTTTTTCGATGTAAAATATTAATAAAAATGTTGGAGAAAAACAATGTTTGTATCTTACATTATATTAGATCTCTCTCTTTATTGACGAATAAATATATCCCATAATATTCTCTACTAATAAATTTACAGACTATTATCTGCTAAAAAGCATGTATAAACATCATTAAATTCTGTATCTTTATATTATACATATATAACGAACAAAAAATTATTTCATTTTATATAATAAACACAAATATCGCTGCTTATCGTTGACACATTGAAAAGTATTAGGAAGTAAAAGGAATATGCTAGTGCTTAAAAAAAAAAAATACATTTCTCCTGAAATCATGTTGTGTCAAACACTATGTTAAACGTCGCTATGTTAGAAATGATGATACTCATTCTTTCATTACATTAGTATCATTAATTACATTTGTATAGCCATTCTGCAATCAAATCAATTGTTAGTATCAAACGTAATATAACACCGTGACAGATATTTCTTTGTCATTTTCCATCATATATGAGCGAAGTAATTTTAAAATAATCCAATCCTGAACTTTCAAACATATTCGATAGCAAAAAAATTGTATTTTAAATATTACAAAATTTGCAAGTCTCATTTATAAAGTTCCGGCAAAAGTGCACAAAAATAATTATTTAAAATAAAAGTACATATATTAGGAATAAATCGTAATCATTTTTTATGCATATCTTGGCACTCTTGCTTTGAGCTTTGCTCATTAAATATGAAACTCAACGATAACCTTGCGTATATAAAATCCAATTCTCTCTTTTTATTTTAATATTATATTTTCTTAAAACAATGTTTTATCATTGCGAACAAGAAAACAGATAACAGAATTATAATGTAAAGCAATTATAATGTAAAGCAATTATAATGTAAAGTTTTTAAATAGACGTTCAATAGCATAACACGATATTTTTTCTGTTATATGAACGCATGTTAATAGAACGCTTACTCGCATATGTATAAATAGCGCAAAAGTAGAGCTGTTTCAATTATATGTGCGATAATGTATCGACCGGAAGAATTTAGATATTAGAATTTCTAATCATATCCTTTACGCTATATTTTATGTTTATACAGTATCGTCGATTGCTGCAAACTACACAGTTGCGAATGCAAGAATTTATCTCCACGAGTGCGCATATTCTTTGAAATATCTTTACTGTAAAAATGTGTACTGTAAATATGCTGCGTAATTCTGCGAGTGCGATTTATTCATACGCAGTTGCATTGTAAAAATCAATTTTATGAGAGTCAACAACGTACTCGTGCGTTAGTCAAGCAGTTGTTACACATCGAGAAAATTGAACAAAGCGAATTTGTTATACACTCACGCGTCTTTATTCGTCGAGCCTCAGATAGTTGAGAAGTGGAGTACTTCAATAAACACATTATGACAATCATTATGATAATCAGATAGATCAGTTGAATTTCAAAACGAAACAATTTGTGCGATCATCAATATTTTCGGTTTACAATTATTTCAAAATATTTACAGAAAAAAAAGAAACAAAATTTCTATATGCAGATGTTTCATATTAATTTTACTAATTTTTTGTTGAATTTGATATGTTCTATTTCCAAATACATATAATCGTGCAGAAAGCAATATTTCCATTTTCGATAAAGCTTTTTTGGAATATTTCCGACATTATACTTATCATTTGGATGTATTGTTGACTTCGAGCTATGAATTTTTTCCATTCGTATAAATCAGATTGTAAAATTTATGCGTACTGATTTCACTGAGCTTCGGCGATGAAGTAAAAATTATATTTTGACGTAAATAATAGAAAATCTGTCAATCTGTTTAGAGTTCATTTAAATTAACTCGTTATTAACTCGTAATTAATGAGTTATTAAAATAAAAGTTTCCAAGCATAAATATCTTTGAAGATGTAGGTTTCTTTTTTCTATTTTATTGAAACTAAAAGTAAAAGCCCCTTTCTGCTTTAGGATTTAATCACGCGTATAATTTGTCAATGTCTGGCACATATCAAGTCATTTAATCTGGTTCTTGTAAATACTGAATCAAATGACGTTAGAAGTTGTAGCATATTATCCAGTGTGTGTGTGTGTGTGTGTGTGTGTGTGTGTGTGTGTGTGTGTGTGTGTGTGTGTGTGTGTGTAGTAGTAGAAGGGCGCCTGTGTAATTGTTCTAATATATTGAATTTTATAATGACGCAACAGACGGAGACAAATGTAATGATTTGATCTATGATTTTGCTATTTCGGCCGATATAATTTGCTGAATATGAAACAAAATAGTTCTTTGAACTTTATATTGAGATAATTATCAATCTATTGAGTAACAGTGTTCAAATTTTATAGTTGACACATTTTATCTGTAAAGAGATATATGCCTTACTAAAGGCAAACAAGTGCCATAAGAGGTGTATCAATATGTTAAAAATAGATACATATTCGGTTAAATTACGAAATTGGATAATTGAAAGAAAAATATCACTCTCAAATCTCACTTAAACAAGTGCTGGAACTACTCTGTTGAAGTAGATGATGAAGTAGATGATGTTCGGCTAATTGGCTGTCCTGTTCGGTTTGCTTCGTTTGCTGCCCTATATCGCGAATTATAATGACGTATTCAAAATATTTATGAATATTATTGTTTTTATAAATAGAAAACAAAAGAAAAAATTAGAAACCAAGCATACAATATCATTTAATAGACTCTTCTATAATAATTCTACTAATATTTTATTTTGTTACATGCATTAAATGTTTCCAGTTTAAAAATATAAAATTTTACAACAAATATATTCATTGTCACACTTGCCTGAATAAAGCAGCAAAACTGGATCCGGCTAAAGCCGATCCAGTTATGTTGGCTGCAGTATCTTGATTCGCCTCAGCCTGATTTTGGTCTCCCAAATTTTGTCTGCAAATGGGACAAGTTCCATGCTAAAAAAATAAAAAACGAAATAAAAAAAATTAGTTGGGTTGCGCCTGTAAACGATAAAATTTAAAGTTTTTCAACTTACCAATTCCAACCAGGGTACAATACATGGTGCATGATAGACATGCTGGCATGGCAACTGTCTAACAGGTTCTGATAGTTTAAAGTCTTCCCAGCAAACTGAACATTGTAATTTGCAATCTGCATAAAGAAAAAGAAGAGATTATTTTCAATTATTTAAAAAGTAATGATAATAATACTTCATAACATAAGTCAGAATCTAGATAATATAAGTCAAATATGCAATTGTTGTGGAAATAAATATATTTCTAGATATAAAAATGAATTTCTAGATGAAAAAACTCTGATTTTCTTTTCATTTTTCCTTTATTAAAATTGTTTGAATTATTCATGTGCACTGCTTCTTAAATTGATAAAGATTTTAAAAGACAATTAAAGTATATAGATATCTCAAATATTATCATACAGAATGTCTGATCTCGATCGGAACACTTCTTATAGACAGATGGAGCAGGTTAAACTGAGTAGAAAAGTTCTTTATCATTTTGCGATTTTTGTGATCGAGGTTGCTAGGCGCGAAAAGTTGTTTATTATGTGCCGTTCGTGCGTAGTTATTGCCACTAGGCAGTCATATCTTGTCATGCGTTTGCATATGCCGATAGATCAGGCGGATTTTCAGGCTCTTTTTAATAATTAACTCATTACTCATCACTATCGCGAAAATTACAAAATAGTAAAAAATTTTTCTATTCAGTTTATACCAAAACGATATCAAACACTTTGTATGTCAAAGAAATACTAACCAACTTGACTTTGTGTTATAGTAGTCGTAGGTATTTCATCGATTTGGTTGCGGGTTAAAGGTGGTGGTCCAGTTCCATCCATTTGATTCAACAATTGGGTAACAATAGCATCTAATCCATCACGACCCCAAACATAATCTCCAGGATTTCCCAAGAACAGTCTAACATTGAATCTATATTATTTTGTTTTATTTTAGTAATACTAAAGATTAAATAAAATTAATAATGACTTGTACCCCCATGGATGGATGAATTTTTTGAATGTTTACTGTTGCCATCACTGTTGAGAAAACATATTAAAATGATGACAATTTGCACATATGAGATAAAAGAAAAAAAAACAAAGACAAAAATAAAAAAAAAAATAGTAAAAACAATTACACAAAATTTAATGAGAAAATACAAAAAAAAAGTTGTGATAAAACTATGTGATATCACTATGTATTTTACAATTTATCTTTATTTTAGTCTATTTAACCTATCCTATGACTTAATATTACAAGCGATGATACATGTAAAACAACTTACACAGATGGTTGGGCATCCTGTCCAACAGAATTGCTAAGACTCGCTGCTCCTGAGAGATTGAAGATAAAATCTTGTATGAAATTCTCTATAGGCATCTGTAGGCTTGTCGTCTCTTGTCTTCTACGACTGCTACTTTGAATAAAAAAGTCAAACTATTATTTTACAAATTTTCCACAAGTACCATATACACAAAAGATATTATTGAAATTGGTCGACACAACAATTTGCATTTATCAAAAACAAAGGAGGGAAAAGAGGGAATATCAGATGTATCATTTATCAAATTTAATAAAATCAAACAAATAAATCCATCAATTATCTAGTAATCTTTGAGAATTGCATTTTGTACGTAATATCAATAGTTCACGCAATAGTTACATATGAGAAAAATACCTGTTGGAACGACGCCCTTCAGGAAGGCCACGGGACAAATTAGCTCTTCTTCTACTCCCAAGCATAGCATAGCTTCTAGTTCCTGGTGGTTGATTGGTATTTGATTGTTGATTGGAATATGTATTCGAGAGTCCCATAATAGAGAGTCCCATCATCTCTATTATCTCACGTTCACGGTCAGGGCGATTTGAAGAACCCTGTATTAAACAGATATAATATTTATGATTATACATTTCTAAGGGCAATTGTCACTTTTAGTTTATATCAGGTTTACTTACATATACATTGTAGGACAAAATGTCGGTATCTCCATCGCTCAGATCTTCACTGTTCATATCTGTACCTGAGCTACCCTCATTGCTGCTACTTTCTAGCTCTTCGATGAAACCGCTTGAGCATCGTGGACATTTGTAATTCTAATTAAAAGTCAATTAGGTAAATATAAATTAAATTATTAATATTTAGCTTGCAAAGTTCATCCCAGATTTAATTATCCAGATATGCTTGTCAAACATGCTTAGTTAACCATTCACAAGTTCAAATATATACAAAAATGAAGCATATGTATATTACATATCTTACATTATCTTTTTATCTTTAAGTAATATTATTATTGTAAAATAAGGTAGTAATATATTAATATATTTCACATGTGTACCAAGAAAGAAACAAAATAATTTGTGAATTTTCTCTCTTTCTAAAACAAAGGTATGCTTGTCTTATTCCAGGCGATACAGAAAGTGTAACAGAGTACAAGAGCAACTGATATATATTTATGTGCTTAGTAACAACAAAAAGAACTGTTGAATTATTTGGACAAATATTCTTATGCAATCAGATTGTGTAGACAAGAACATTTTGGAATAGCTAAATAATTAATCAAAATACATTATCTCACGAATGATAAGACTCATTCGGGAACGATCACGCAAAGAAATGTGCGTCACATGCTCTCTAAAAGATCATTCGGGAGAGGTACACGTCGCATACATGGCCCAACCCGTATGATAATCGTTGTAATAAAGATTAGAAGATAGAGATTTGTCGTGACAGCAAAATCGCGAGAGAGACAACGAGCGATGCCGTCGATAATCGTTACTTGGCATGGAAAACCGAGGCAAACATCGCTGCCAAAGGTTCTGGAGGGAGGGGGGAGAGGGAGACGAAGAGAGAGAGCGACGGAATTTCTGCACATGACAAGGTGACAGTTACTACGAGACGAACGTTTCGCTGCGTCAATTCCATGCCATCCGGCGCGGATCAACGACCGATCGCGACGGCGGACATAATGGGATACTTACCGGCAATAGACGCTCGATTTCGATACTGCATTTGTGACAAAAAAACCGAGACATCGGAGTCCCGTCCACAACGGCCTCCGCCATATTTAACGTATCCCTCGGATCACCACTCTCCACTCTCCACTTGCCGCAATTACAGTTGGTCCCATTCGGCTACGTTCGGCTCGGCCTCGGGCGAGGTCGGTTTACATCGGTCCGAAATGATGGCGTTCTACAGAGTTTCCGAGATCGAATGACAGACAAATTCAATCGATTACGCCACATTGTTGTTAGCTAATCGAGAACGATTAATCGACTGTAACAATATGGCGTGTTGTTATGCGGATATTTTTTGTCACATCATCATTTCGTATCTTTTGAAAATTTAAAACGTAGTTCTAGTTATGGCAGAATTCAGTTATGTTTGTTATTTAATAGTGCATTGATAATATCAAATGTGAAAGATATTCTTATCAACAAACATCGTAATTTCATAAATTCATAAACCATGTCGGATTGTGCGAGTAAATATTAGTTTATAGCAGTATTAATGATTTTTCATTCTTGTTTTAATAAGAGTTACCTTCCAGAATTGTGTATACCACTTCCCAAAAGTCTGACTGGTCACATTAAGATCTGCGAGAATACTCAGCAGTATGTCATTAATTTCTTGCAAAACTTATTGCCATCGTCCGATCATAAAGCTATTCAAGATGAGTTACGAAAGGTATATAACGAGAAAAGAATAATCATCCATATATAGTTAAGGGATTATGGAAATTTTCAGACTTACATATTTAGCAAGTTCAAAGTAAAACATAAGCAGAAAGTGGAAAGAAAATTCTTTTCTGCCAGGAAGAGATTGCAATTTGGTTTGAGCAGAGTTGGCAACAAGAATCAGATGAAATATTCTGATCTTCTACCCTTAAATCGACTGTGGCTGCAATACATGCAACAAATGCTTGGTGTTGAATCATTTATGAACATACCAAAAAATTCTAATGATCCATATTGGGAAAATATAAATCTACAATTGATGAAAGCTGATTTTCATGGTGCTAGAATTTCAATTAATCAATCAAAATGCCCTAGTTTGATAGGAGTTAGAGGAATCGTTATACAAGATACAAAGAATACCTTTAGGGTTTGTGGAACAGACAATATTATTCGAAGTAAGTATTGATAAAAGTCCTTTTTTTTGTAATCTATATAACATATACTTACTGCTTTTATAGGCTTTTCTGTATCATTAATATTTTAATTTCAGCGATACCAAAGGATGTGGTCAAGATTAATATTCATCTGGACAATGATATAATACTAAAAGCATTTGGAAGAGAACTCTGCATAAGGCCTGCCGAACGAGCAGTTAAAAAATTTAAGAATAGTTCAATTGTAGCACTGTGATACATATTATGATAAGTATTTAGCATAATATACTCAACATAATTTTTTAATAAATTCAAATAAAAAATCTTAATAAAGAATATTGTGAAGAAAAAAAATAAATATGATAAAAAATCAATATATGAATAATTATAGGCAATTTATATGTAATTGATCCTAGTAAATTTTTTTACTGAAATTGTGATAATTTCATATAGATGTTACAATTATTTTATTTCTTTATATTTTTCAGTATTCTTTTTTGGGTTATTATTATAGAACATTACAATTACAGGATTGGTAATGTATATTTACTACTTACATGGTACAGTATTTTAGTCGTATATATAATATAGCATTATATTTATATATAATGTATGTATATGTGTAAATCTCTTTTTTTGTGTCGTGTCTTTATATGGAGAGGTGTGCATAATTATTGAACAATAATATATTCATTTTGGAAGTGTCTTCACTCATGTTCCATTAAAACCGCAGTGATCAAACATGACACTGATACAATGATAATTTTCAATTAGTACAACAACTATATTTGTTAATCAATCTCTACAATTTCATTGGCTAAGTTTAGATCAAAGTGAAATAATACCAGGACATATTATACCTGACCTTCTCCTATTTCTCGACACACTCACATAACATTTTCAATATGTAATATATACAGCTGGATCACTGCAAGATCAACTGTGGAGTACCAAAAACAAAAGCATCGCGCGGATAGAAAACGAGACGAACATCACGCGTTCGTTTTTTTATCATTATGTAACACGAATTTTTTCTTACTTGGGCATAGCAAAAAGTAACGCGATCTTATCATCAGTATAAACTTTTGCTTTTCGCGCTCTTTGAACTTAAAAAAGACTGTATATTATATCCGTTATATTTTGACATGTAAAAGAAAAACGAGATATCACACAAAGTGATATAAAAAATTTACGCAACAATAGCTTACATTTAGGAATGTTAAAAGTAATGTAAACGTATTACAAAATTAATATCTGTTTTTCTTGGTTGTCTGTTGTACCTTGTACATATTGATCCTGATGCATCGACGTAGTATTTCATACACACGCGACATAAGTATCTCAAAAAGGAAGAAACAAACATAAGTGTTTAACGAAATCTGACTTTTTCATCTTTTAGAAATATTGCGATCTAATTTATCTTAATGCTTGTATAATTTGCATAATTTATAACAAGTTATGTAATGATCAACAATTGATTTCGAACAGAGTACTATGCACACGTTAATGTGAAACGAGTAGGAAATATTAAAATACATTTTATAAGGTATGAACGATGTGACAGTGACGATCGTATTGGACTTTGTTATCAAATTATCTGTATGTATTTCTCGACTCTAGTTGTGTGTAATTATACTCTTGCGCGATGAATAACGAAAGAAAAGCATGATATGTGATGCACATTCGGCAAAAAGAAAACTTTTATGCATTTCTGTACATTAATGAGACAATAAGATCTTGACATGAATTTCATTATCTATAATTTATTTTACGTTTCATTCTATTTTTTTTATGTAAATCAAGCTAACTCAGCGAACATATATCGTCGTATTATGTTCAAGCAAATGTACACACAAGTAGATCTAGAACAATGTATGTTATCATAGATACGTCGTCAACATATTCTGTTTATAGTGTTTTTTTTTTTTTTTTCCCCCGTAAAGCTCTCTCGTTACAATACTGATATAACGATACACGATCTACTCTGATTTAAAAGATATTTTTATTACATTTTGCGAGGGCTTTTTAATTTCATTATGGTTCATCACACGCTAGGATTTGAAAATGTATTACATTTTTCGGAAGTTGAGAAAAAAATTGATTTCCAAAATATAATGGCGAAAAAAATTGAAAAAAATTTCGTCGAAAAGCAAGCATCGGGTAATTTGTGCTAAAATTTAATCGTGATCTACAGTTGATTTTGCTTTGGAATTACGATATCGCTCAAAAAAGCTTGCTTCCTGTTAGTAGTCAAAAGAAAGGCACATAGACGCACACACGTACATGTGCGAGAAAGACAGGGAAATTATATTCTGCTTGTATAACATGCATATATCTTTTTACTGTGCAAACACAAGATTAAATTTAACGAAAAAATCTCGGTATTAGAAAAAAATTTTTTCTTTTAAAATTCTTTAAATATGATTCTTTAAATAATGTTTTTTACGCAGTTCGTATTAAACAGTTATTTAAATCGTAAAATATAATTATTTGCTCAAGAACACGTTCCTCCTATAAATTCACATTTAGGTAGCGTGTGATAGTGCGTATTAATGTCTTTTCTCAATGAATTTCGCTATTCATTACACTATTATCATGATCTAAACGTGGCTTCATCGTTTCTAATGATATTCATATTCGCTCTAACGATATTAAGCTAACAAAACAATCTCATTCTACCTAAATCTTATAGAAAAGTAAACTTTGTTGATCTGTCCCCTTAAATGTATTTCACATACCGTAACCTTGATAGGCTGCGGTGGATGCGTACACTTGTGCAGGTGCACCGTATACATTTGGAGGCGCATAGCCGGGTGCCATCATTCCTGGCCCTGCAGTCAGCATTAGTTGAGGTTCCGCTGTAACAATATGCAACAGAAAGAAACGTCATAATATAAAAAATGATGCATTACAATATTTATAAGATGTGATGTATTTACAAAAATATAATTGAAGAGATCACTTACGCATAATCATAGGCTTATGTTCTTGATGATCGGTTTCTTCGATGCGTCGACTTTCGGCTTCTTCTAATTTATCGACCTATCGAACATATTTGATACTATAGATACTACTAATGATATAAGAATACGGAGTTAAATGTACATTTCAAGTATCTTGTTTTTTACCTTAGTAATATATTCCCGCGCGACTTGTATAAGATACGGCATCGCGAAATGTAAAATACGATGTCTCCATGCAAGCTCCAAGATGACATCTGGATGAAGTAAATCGTAACAATGAAATAGGCATGCTGCGAAGCAGTCCTTAGAACCTCTCTCCAAGAACCATTCGAGTAACTCTTCGGCAACCTCTGGATTCCGAGATTCTGCCGCATATTCCATGGCATCCCTATTATGAATTGGCAATTAATAAGAATCATATATGCATGTATAAATATATGTCAAATATGAGTAACGCGTAGAATTACCTAAATAGTCGATCCTTCTTGCAAAGCTCTACGGACTGTTTCCATCTGTTGTTTCCCTTGTACAGGTATGCGGCGATTCTTCTAAACTCGATCAATTCATGCTTTTCGAGTTGCTGCGCTAACGCAATATTATCAAAATTATCGAACGCGTCGATCGATGTTCGGAGACCCTGATAATCCTCTTCGTCGATCAGCAAGCCGTTTAAAGCTTCATTAATAGCCTTATTGTTGAGAGCTTGAACCGATCTCAAGTATGGTTTCACCAATTGCAGATGGCCAGTTCGCGTAAAATATGCCACTGATCTAGTATGATCCATGCGCGGAGCAAGTACAAGTAGTATATCGTTTAAAAGAAGGGGTTTATATTCCACATAAAACTGTATAGCTTTATAATAGAGCTCGACGTTTGCGACTTTAGTTATTACGTCCTTAAAGTGACCCTCGCGCCAAGCTTCAGTAGGGTGTTGCATCATCGCGAGGACTGCGTTGTCATATTCCTCGTATTTATCATACAGGAACACTAATTCGGCCCATAAATGCGCTTGTTCCGCTGCACGTAACACCTGCGAGTCAATCGTTTTCACTCCATTAAATGATTAAGAAATCTGTTATTGATTTTTCATTGATTTGAAAAGAAAACCCACCTTTGGTATATTAACGCGAGACCAAAAGAGTTCCAAATGTTCCCTCATTCGTTGAGGCTTGTATTTACTATAGAGAATAGCTAATTCGGTAAACATTCCCATGTGAGCCCGCTCGAGTCCTAAAGCAGCTTCTAGAAGATTAATAAGTTCTTCGAAATGTCCACGATCTTGATAGTAGTTGATCAAGTCTTCGAGTTCGTCCGCATGCACGACTATGTGCAGGCCGCACATTTGAGCTAATCGAAACTCGCCGCTGTCCACACAAGCGAAACAAACTTCTTTCCAGGTACGCGTCGAGTTAGCCTTACGCGCGCTATCGACGGCACCTTGGAATTCTTTCAGATGGACCAACGTTATAGCTAAACGCGCAAAGTTCGACACATTGTTGTAGAGAAGCTTCGCAGCATCATACATCTTATCATCGAAACACCTATCGCCAATCTGTAAAAAAAAAAAGTAAAGTATAAAAAGTATAAAAATAGGTTTACAAAAATCAAATCATGCTCACAAACGCGTGTGATTGTTTACTTTTTGTATGTCGGCATGATTGGGACCAGATATAAACTCTTCGAGATCCGCGAGCCTGTTGGTCCGCGCGTATGCATATATCAATTCGCTTTCGATGAAGGATTCGCGTGCTTTCTTGCGGGCCATTTGAAGATAGCGGACCAAGTCTTCCCAATGTGAAGTCCGATGTGCGGTTTCTACCACATCTACGTACGCAGATGGATCGTCCGCTTTGATAAAGCTATCGATCGCTTCTTTAACCAGACCCTGCTGCAGCTGAGCCCTAGCGAGCTGCGACCATACCGGTGGCTCATTGCATCTGTAAATGAAACAATCTATTTAAATAAATTGTATGTATACTGTATGACAAAAAAAAGATTAGTATGCGTGTGTGTGTGTGTGTGTGTGTGTGTGCGTGTGCGTGCGTGCGTGCGTGCGTGCGTGCGCGCGCGCGCGCGTGT